AAAAACCGGCACTAGTTGTAGATGCGCTCTACTCGTACGCGATGAGTTTTTGCAGAAGCGACTGCCAAGTGGGCGTTGCATATTTTTCAGAAGCCGCCCGCCAACTTTTTTGTTTTGGCTAATGCGTTGATTTTTATATAATAGGTACGAATATTTTCTGGCACGGCACTTGGCCCGAGCTCAGAAGTTGCAAGTGTTATGTAATTAGAGCTTTGTCTCTGTATTTTTATTTTTGGTTCTCACACACATGCTCGCAACCTTCATAAATCTTGTCTTTGCCACACTTGTCGCATGCACTTGTCAAATGAAGTTGCCCGGATTTCATATTATTATTTTTTTAATTAAGCTAAAAAATATTGCTTAATTATTTTAAGAAAAAAGAAGTCGAAACAATTGCAAAAACTTGCATTGAAGAACGAGTGCAGTCGGTCGCGCCATGCGGTCATGTGAGCGCCGAACATCTTGAACGTTTGGCAATTAATGTCAATCACGGAGCGTGTGCAGAACCACCAGTTTCCAAATCGGTGGATCGGTGAATCGGTAGATCGAGTAATGTGGCTCAGAAATCGTGCGTTCAGCTAATGCTCGTAACGTTCTGGAGGCTGGGGCAGTCAATACTTTTGAAAGTTTGCCAACAGCACTCAGAAGTAAAACAAATCATCATCATCGTCAGCAACATCATCATCAAGCCTTTCTGCTGTGCTGGAAAAAAAGTTAAGCTAAAAACAATTAAGCATCCGCAAATGCTTAACTTAAATATCAGGTCTTTGCACTGCCGTTGTTCTAATTCTGTATACACTGCCAACTAAATAGTGGAGTTTATTTAAAATAAATGTAGGCACCAATTTGTTTATGTTTATTTTTTGCGCTTCAGTAAATAAATAATGTTAGTTTTTTAATGTGAACTTTATAATATAATCTTCCCTTATCTAACTACATATATTTTTATTAACATTTTAAATTAAACGGAGTTGCAAAGGTTAAAGTACCAATGTATACTAATGTTTTATATTTATATTGGTTGGAAAAAGAATTATGTTAAAGAGAGGGTATTTTTATTTAATCGGTGTCATGGAAAAGCTTTACATTTATATATAAAAAAATATGCCTTTTCAATATATGTTGGACCCAGTGTTCGTACTGGTCCTTATAGGAGTGTTGCAAATATTTTCGTTAGTTCACCTATGTTCACTTCTCAACTTGAAAAAATGCTAAGAGGTGTTAATATACTAAGAAAACGTTTGTAGTATTTATCTCTATTATAACAGTAGCTAAAGCCAATTTAAGAATAGTTTGCTTTTTTAGAACAAGATACTATGTATACACGTGTGTGTGTATGTGATATTACAAACTTAGTAATAATCTGAACACTAACATAATGAATGCCATTAGGTTCTTTAAAATAAATGTTCATGTTCATTATTATTTATATTAAGGTATTGTTCTCTTTCAAAACAAAGTGTCTTAATTAAGTGAATTGCCGAAACTTGAAAAGAGAACTTCTCGAGTTAAGTTATGCCTCATAAGTTACCTCATAATTATTAGCGTGCTGTTCTAATGGGGCAACGTTATTGTTCCAGTGCATGAGCCAAATTAGTTAATGAGCTCCGCGTGATGTTCGTGAAGAACCACAAAAATCTAAACAAGAAATAACTCACAAGAATACAATTTCAAAAAAATGAAAACATATATACATACCTAGTATTTATATACATATCTAACAGAAATTCCATTGCATTTTTAAGGTGCGGATGTGGTTGCTGCTGCTAATGTTGCTGCTGTTGTTGTTCTTGTTGTTGCCGCTGACTTTGAGTGTTGGCACAGTTGGCGCCGCGGAAAGTGGCAACAAATTGCCAACGACAAGCAGCAACAACAATGACAACAACAAAGCAATACGAGTACGTTGCAGTCTCAGAAATTTGTTTCAACAAATGCTGGCAACATTGAACTTTAAATGGTAGCAAGACAACAATACAGAATACAATAGCAACAACGACTGCTACACACAAGTGCCACACATATGATGATGTGCCACAAAAGCTAAGCAGTATAGTCTGCGTATCTGTGATGACTCCCGAGGCATTGGCCGGGCCAGGTTCGTCACGTTGATGATGCACCACAAAACTCCGAGCTTTGATTCCATTTTCGATTTTTCCAAACATAAATTAATTAAATGGCTCTGGCTGTGACTGAGTCTGAGGCTGCACCTTGACACCCAGGCATGGAGGCATGGAGGCATGGAGTCATGGATTCGACCTTCAACTATGTTTGTTTGCTTGTTTGTTGTTGTTTCCACACGTTTTGTGATAAATGATGGGCCATGCAAACACAAAGAAATTCTGCTACAATTTTAATTAAAGTCGACACAAGACAAGACATAAGCAGCGCATATCGTCTGGCATTTAAGTGCCTTGCCAAATTGCTCAAGTTAATAAAACGAGCAAAGCTAAAAAAAATATGTATATATTTTGAAAATGGTTTGCAAATATTGAAGTCAAGCAGGAAATGAAAGGTCAACGGCAAGGCAACACGAATAAATTGTCTAACGCACTTGTGCATGAAAACGGCGCACATCACAACAACACACTACAAAGCGAAACTATCAACTACAACAACAACAACAACAACAACAGCAACAAATAACCTACCACTAAAACAAAAAATACAAAAATTAAAAGTCAATTATATCGAAATGGAAGCGTTGCGCATCTGCCGCGCCCGAAGGTTTGCCGCTTAAACGGCCACGTCTCAAAAATTGTGTGCCACCTTCGACATTTGATGCCGCATTCGCATTGCCCGCATACAACAATTTGTTGAAAGTTGTTGCTCGATTTGCTTGACAGGCCGCCGGGGCACTTGTAGCTTCTGTCTGACGGTCGCGCCTCCAGCCTCTAGCCTGCAGCCCCCTGCGGCCAACGGCTCTGTTGGAAATGCATTGCAATCGCCAATTGGCTGCGTAATTAGACAAATTTGTAAAAAGAGACGGAGACGTTGATAAACGATTTCGGAGCGAGTTCGACAATAAAAATGCGTACACCCTGTTAGCCATACAACTATTAGCAACGATAAATAAATACACCGTCTCGTACTTATTCATTGCACTTTATTTATTGCTGTGCTCATAAAAAAGGTTACTGCATTCAGCTCCAGTTTCAGCTCCAGAGAGCAATATTGATTCCATTGCGCATCTAAAAATTGAAATTAATTGAAATACAAAAAATAGTATCTATATATGCTAATGATGTTTAAATAAATATATTTCTAATCGGTTTCGGTTCAGGCTAGTAATTAAAACATTCAACAATAAAGAAAAACATCACATTGCTGTGGTTTAGAAAAATCACCCAAAATTCGAGCTGAAACTCTAATTCATAAAAAATTGAACTTTTTATTGTTGTTTAAAACCAGAGATATAAATGGTTTTGTAAATGTATGTAAAAAAGATGCAATTAATTGAGAAATATTATAACAATATTATTATTAATTCATTGAATACTATATACTATGCGTGAATTAACAAAAAATCGGCCAAATACTTCAGGGAAGTGAATTGAAATGGAATTGAATATTATCTTTTAATCGAATATTTGGGTCTGGTTCTTGCTTTGTTCCTCCCAAGTTGATTTATAAACAGCAATTGGTCTCTTCGGTGAACATTACTTACTAATTGTTTGACAATAAATTGCATTTTAAAAATCAAACACTCCCCATACTCTCCTCATATTGGCATCGTGCGTCCGTTTTCATTATGGGAAAAATGCATTTGCTGCTGAAATGAAAGTGGTATATGGACGTAGAAGTCGTCCAAAAAAATTGTGTTATAATCCTGGCCATTCCGGCCAACGTCATGCTGCTGGCCATGAATGCAGTATGGTGTCCTAAGTGGATAGCACTTGAACTAATATTGCCCAACTTTACTTCAGTAACTGACCCCCCTTTCACATTCTTGCCAATTAAAACAACTGTTGATGTCGTAATAAACAAAAAGGGGATTTGCACCGATCGTTCCTATGCTTGCCTCCTAAAACAACGAAGCGGTGTATGGGTTTTGTGAAGCCTTGTCTGGTCAAGATTAATTTAGTGTTCTTCCCTCTTTTGCTACAAAACTTCTTGGTATTCATACGCAAACACATCTATATCGATTCGTATGTTTATGGTAAATATATACCTGTAGAATCGGAAACAAACTATATATTATGTATTGATTTCGATTTATTTTAGTGCACATTCATCAGACATGTTTTTTATGTAGGTGTAGCTTATAAAATAAGTAATGAGTTCAAGATCGTTAATTAAAATTGTGGCATTGGCTTTACAAAATTGTTTTTCTTATTTTCAAACAATTGTATTTAAGTTTTATAAATATTCAGGTTTCATGTGCTCAGTTTTTGTTATTTAATAAACATTTTCCAAATTTAAATTCCTTGTTTGAATTTTTAAATTGGGAAAAAGATCGCTAATACCCGATCTAAAGAATACAAAAGTATTCGAAGTTGAATAAGATTTTAGAAGGTTGCTTTGCTTTGTTTAGTTATTAAATAATTGAAGCAATTTAAGGCAATCTATTAATTCTTTTGATTTTTCGATCTCATAAATCACTTCTTTAAAGTAAAGAGAGAACAAATATCAAAAGTGTGAGACAAAGTATTGTTATTTTAAAAATGATGTGGCTCCAGTTTTAAAACTTAATATCTAATCAAAATATGATATCTGGTTAGTTCTCTCTTAATTTGTGTCCAATCAGGGTAAACTAGAAATACTACAAGTATATGTAATTCAGAAACATAGAATGTAATTATAATGTCGAAGAGAATATATTTGGTATTCGAAATGTAATATGGATTGAAAATTATTTTTGATTGGCATAATATTTCTGTTAATTTACTTACTAGTAATGCTTAATCTGAATGAAGTGCGACCTAAACTATTGTCTGGTGCATAACTATAAGTATTGGAGTTGATTGCACAATTACCCGCTGCTGTCCAGTGAGGCAATGCGATCAATGCCTCGCCGTGCCGCTCTCAAAGCTAACATCCGCATGGAAGCCCGTATCGTCCGCATGATAAATGACATTCTGGATGCGTCCATCTGGCAATAAAATATGATATTGACCGCGTGTCACGCCATGCAAATCACGATTCTGCTTGTGGCCAAAGTCGTTGCCGGTATGAAAATCACGTATTCGATAACCGAATGCATACTTTGAGGCGTACTGATGTAGCTGTAGTATGGAAGATAAAGAGAGAGAGAGAGAGAGAGAGAGTGTGAGTGAGTGAGAGTGACAGAGATGGTCAGAGTTGGAGGTGTGGAATTTAAAGTTAGTATTGCATTACAAGTTGATTGCATTGTGTGTGTGTGTGTGTGTGTGTGTGGGTTGGTTGGCAAAATGTCAACGGCAATTCGTGTGCATGCCGAAAACTATGCAATGCAAAATATGTGCAAATGTATTAAGCGCGCTGTCATGTACATACAGTAAGGACTGTGAAAACAACAACAACAACAACAGCAACAACAACAACAATGGCCTGCACCAGCTACTGGATAAAAATAACAACAGCCACAACAACAATAGCAATAACTACCTCCATACGAGTACACTCAGCTGCAGTGTTGGCAATTTCTTAGAAGAAAACAAGCTGTTTTTGACGGGAAGGAGAGTGAAATAAAGCTAAAAATGTGTACAAAACAGCGTTAAAAATAGATACACTTCTTCTTACAAAATATGTTTAGAAAAGTGTGGATAGTGCAAAGATTACTCAAGTGGTCAAGCAATGGTATTGCTCTAGGCTTTCATATCTTCACGGGCCAGCAACAAAACCAATCTTGTTTTGTGTGATTTTCTGTGCTTCTTTGTAAATGAGCCCAACATCTCGCCATTTTCCCTTGTATTCTTTCAGCAGAAATGCTTAAACTAGTAGTGCCATGATGAATGATGAAAAAAAGAATAATGGTGGCTAGGTTTTTTTTTTTGAAGAAATGTTGGAAAAATTACGAAAAGGGGAAAAAAGCTAAATGCGTTCTTAATAATTTTTTATTTTATTTATTATGAAATTTAATTCGAATGCCATTCTTAGGACTTTAAAATGATATATTTCGCATAAGCTTCAAGTAGTTTTCTTTGAAATCGCGAAAATTTGTTGTACAAATCAGAGTTTGAAACATTTTTTTGATATATTTTTTATAAATAATAATTAAAACTAATAAGACAACTTAGTTTCAGGAATATTATTTTAAATTTTGTTAAAAAATTAGCTTTTTACTGAAGTTGTTCTTCAAGGGCTTGGTAATTACTGAGCACAAGTTACTGAAGTTGTTCTTCAAGAACAACAAGATGGTAATGACTGAGCACAAACAAAAATCGCAACTATGAAAACAACCTACACATGTACTATGTATTACAACAAAGAATAACCATCTAGGGTTAAAAAGCCAGAATTTCTGCTTTTCCCTCAATTTCATTTCAAAAACAACCAGATTCGACGGGGGGAAAAAGCGTATTGGCAACACTGCTCTGTTGCAAGAAGAAAAGGGTCGTTTGGGCTTTTGCGGGTGCCTGTCACTCACACAACGCGCATTGTTATGCTCGTACATGTGACTGTAAATTGTATTGAGCAACCAACGTTGAGGCAAGCAACGCGTGCGTAATGAAATTTGCAACAATATACTACAGTGTACATTTGTATATACATACTCGTACACGTACATATATACAAGTACACCCACACAATCACAGCAATGCGTACAGGCCCGCACGCCTTTCTGTGTATGCAGCATAGATTTGTTTTGTGTCGTCAACAATTTTCGTAGTTACCGTCCCATCGTCGTATCGTCCCATCGTCGCCACTGACTGTTTATTGTATTTCTCCACAACAACCATTTCAAGATGAAATAAAATATTTGTGCAAATGCCTGAGCAAAATTATGGCTCTTCCTTCTACTATACATATTTACAAAATACTGGTGTGGGTATATTTCTGAGTGTGTGTGTGTGTGTCTGTGGTGAGTGTGCGTTTCCGTTTCCGCTCACTCGTCAGTGCTCGTTGAGGCGGCAGCGGCAGCGGCACGACAATTGTACGAATAACAACTTTCGTTACATGTTTTGGGCGGCTTGTGGTTTTCATGCCCAAATGTGTGTGAGTGGCAAACTTTTTGATATGTTAATGAGTTGTAAATTAAGTTTAATTAAGTTGCATTCTTGTTGATGTTGTTGTCGTAGGCTTTTTATTATTTTATTTTTTCGCCACATGCCGAACAAACTTTTGTTCAATTTTATTTATGTGCTTAGTGAAAAGGGCTTAAGTCCGCGACAGCTTCAAATTTATACGAGTATGTTGAGGGCTTGCTTTGTAAAAACTTGAATAGGCCTAGGAAGGGAGCTACAATTGAGCCTGTGCGAGTTTCTAGACATTTTAACTCCACATTTAACACTTAAGGGATTCCACTAGCCACTTACTCTACAAGTACACCGAGTCCTTGCTTAATACATGGACTCCGTACAAAATATAGGATTACGTTCCTAGATTTCGACAAAGGCACCAATAAAAATTCTTGTTTAAGTATCCGCAGTGTTTAATGTCCAAACATTTTCAATATTAACAAAAAATTACTCCAAATATTGAATAGTTATCATTATCATTATCTTTAAGAGTAAAAAATGTTAAAGCAGCTTAATATAAAAATTTATGAACCATTTGGCGGCATTGGCATTTAAACTAATTATAAGCCGTTTTCGTCCTAAACATTTTTCTTGTTTTTGGTGGTCATCTCGCTTGATAAAGAAAGGGTTATGCGATTGTTTATTGGAAGAAGTATTTTTTCTAACTCACTTATCAACTGGAAAAGTCTTTCCATTTTAGTTCAATTGTTGAACGATTTATAGGTTCTGTTTTTGCAGAGTTTCTGTCTAGCGATTTTGAATTGCTTTCTGCGTGCTAGCAATTTCAAATAATAATTTGTTATCTTCAAACAACTCTTGCACATCATCGTTATTCATTTCTTCGAATCCTGCAGAAGAACAAGGGTTCTTGTTATTGGTGTGTAAATTAGTAATACTTATAAGAAAGAATGATAGATAAATCTGAATCTAAATTGAAAGTACTGACTTGCTACAGCTTCAGCAACGAGGCTTTTTACTGACGAACTCTTATGATTCAAAACAAGTTCTGGTATTAAAATCTGGTTTATTGCTGAATTTTTGTTGTTGCATCAATCGTGGGTCGTGAAAATTTCCTGCTAAGAAAGGATGAGGTCATTTGTGGAGTGTAGAAGTGTTTCAGTTTTTAATTCTTTAATCAATTTCTCTTTACTTAGTATATCTCCAATACACCGCTTACAAGCGCTTTAATCAGAATAAAAAGGAAGAAAGTTCGCCCACACTATTACGTTTATATTTTTAATCACGCTTTTGCTTGCAATTACATAAATGCATAATATATTCCAGCATTATATTTCTTTATTAACGAACAACTAACGCCCATGGCCTCCGCACGCCCTCTTCATTAAGAGAGAGGCGAAAATGTTAATAGATTTTGATGTGCAAACGAGCCGGCGCTGCATACTTTGCAGCTCTGCTGGAAAAATAAAACAATGGATGGCAGTGGAAAAAACCGCATTGCCAGCGAATATGCAAATTTTCTTTGATTTTCCAGTTGCGAGTCAGCCAGGGAGGCAGAGTGCACAGGACGTTGGTGTGGGACGATGTTGCAGTCTCGAATTTCATTACAAATTGATTTGATTAAATGGACATAATTACAATGCAGATGAAACGTGTTCAGAAAGGAAGCGAGAATTGGAGAAGCGAATTGCTTATGTAAACATGTAGAGTAGAAGAAAATAAAAGCGATGATGAACGTTTTCATGCAAATGATAACTGAGGAAATTCACAAGAAAACTCCAAATCACATCACGTGCCATACAATACTACATAGTACATACATATATGGACTTTTTCTTAAACTGTCAATCAGCAAGAAACGCATGAACGAGACTATAACAAAAGCAAAGAGTGGCTGCTGGCTATGCACATTTTTCTTGACTGTAAATGGACTTGCCATTAGATGGAGATCCCAGACGATGGCGATGGCAATGGCGATGACGACGTAGATGGCATCAATAAGAGCGAGCCATTGAACTGTTCGATGGAGCCAGCCTAATGTAAATATCAATAGGACAGCAAACCAATTGCATTTCGCATTTTTCTGATATCCACTATACTATATATGAGGTGCATGGTGGCACAAAAATATGACAAACACTATGAGCTGTGCAAACTCTAGAAAATTGCAAAAATTATTGGTCGGCAAGCTGTTTGAGTGCAAAAGCAATGCAGCTCGATGTATGTGTTCTCCTTGACTGCTCACTGGATATTCTGTCATTGGTGCCGGTATTGGTGGGGAGAACAGGATTTTGCATTTAACACGTTTCATGTTCGCGCCAAGTTCGAGTGCGAAATGCAATTTGAGGCCAACTACGTGAGTTCGTTTAGCCTTGCAGCTTTTCAGCATTCTACCATTTTACCATTTCAGGGTGGGCGATCCTTCCCCAGCTGTGCGTGGCTATTTTCGGCCAATGCAGCCTAAAAGTATTGCTCGACAATGGCAAATTGTCATGCCATGCACAAACTTTCAGTGGAAAATTGCAATTCCAGTTCACAACTTTGGCGAATACAAGGATTCCTATATGTTTCAGCATCCCCCAAGCTGTAGCTCTGAGAGCAATACTCATAAGGTTGTTATTAAAAGGTTGCCTTTCATTTGCATATTATCAAAATTGTTGTTTTCATTTGGTCTGCTTTCTTCTATTTACTGCATATTTGACAGCCTCTGGTCATCTGTCAGCCTCTCATTAGAATATTTGACTTGCGGCTGTTTCTGTGGTTAACCCACCTTTCATTTCATCTTCCTCAATTGAGTGCAGAGCCTAAGACTGTGCGACTTCCTTGCGATTTATTTTGATTACGTTTTAATTTTATATTTATTGGGGGTAGTGACGAAATGGTAACCTCCCACCCTTGTATTTTATTTGAATAATTACGGACCCGAACCTTCATATTTTGCCAACATATTTCTTATACATACTCGTACGTTATAGAAAGCAATAATATTGAAGCAATTGGATGTATACGTTTAATTATTTAAAGAACGAATTAAAAAACAGCAGTTTAATTTATTTTTTAATTTTTTAAAATATTACAACAGTTATTTAAACACAAATATGTTAAAA